TCTTGTTTTAAGGTAGCTTATTGGTAATGAAACATCAAGCAAAGCTCATCGACATCAAATTTTGATAGCTGTCAAAATCTGAAACCTGTGTATAAATTCTTTTCATGCTCCATAATAGAGAGTTATTGGAACTATTAAATACTGCCTCGCAGTATTAAGGATCCACGTTATTTTATTAGTGCATCAGCACTATTTTTCCAAGAAAATAACAGTTATTGGAAGACTGTAGTAGGTGTTAAGAGTATTACCTTATTTTGTATTCATAATTTTGACAGCTGATAGCTATGTTTAGAAATTTCAACCTCAAAAAGTGTTTATTTAATTTTGTTTGTGATTTTCTGCTGCTACCCATTACCCATTTTGTGATGTTTCCTACAGTAAAATGAAACCCTATTGTAAAAAACAAATTCTATAAGTAAAATTACAGCATCGTCGAAAAGCGAAACGTCAAAGTCGTCAAAAATGTCAGAAATATTGAAATAAGGGAAGTTCATTGCCTCGCACTAATCATACACAAATAAGGACAAGCAGTAACCTTATTAAGGAAATCCTTATTTTCAGACCCAAATGCGCATCTGTAGATGTCAAAATAAGGCTAATTTTAATACTGCTTGTCCTTATTGCACGTCCAATAACTCTCTAATGAATAAGCATAACTTGAATAATTGGAACAGAACTAGATTCAGTTTTTTTTTTCAATTAAAGCTAATGTCAGATTCTGACAGCTGCCAAAATTTGATGTCTATGAGCTTTGTTCAATGTTTTATCACCAATATAGGTACTACCTTTAAACGAAAAATAGCCAAATTGGAATCTTTTTTTTACCAAAAAAAAATGACAGGTTTTGACAGTTCTGTAATTTTTTTTTCAATTTTTGAACTCAGAATTAACATAGGTTGAAATTGTCAAATGACACATCATGAAATATTGAAAACTGAAAAATATGAGTGCTGCCGTTTGGCGGGGTTTTGACAGATGTCAAAATGGTTGACATTTTTCAATTAACCTTGGTCGACTTAGTAGGAATCGAAATCTGCGATAATTACCCTGCTTTTGAATATTAAATTCCAATATTTGACAGCCGATACCGCCTCACCTGTCATATATAAGTACAAGGTTGCGCCCATGGTAAAAAATGTTGCTTACGCCATCACCAATTACATATTTAAATTTCATCCAAATATCACGGGTAACCAATTTCCATTTAAATATTGCAGGATCCTTTCATGAAATCTTAATTGGTGTAAACCGCATTTTGATATCTTAAACCATTTTGCCGCTAGAAGAGCGCGTCTCTTCCGATTTCGAGCAATATTGATTGTGAAACCTTTATACCTTTTTTGTTTATGTAGAAACACTTTTTCAAGCAGAATCCGATGACGTTCTCAGTTTTTTTTTATTTGGCTCCGATTTCAAGATATTGCCATTGAGTCTGACCCCTACATATAAATAACTCATTCTGCTTGAAAAAGTGCTTTTATAAAGTTCTTACAGAAATCAAGTATCAAAACGGGTGAAAATACCAAAATGCGATGCACCAGTGGAATATTTCATGAAATTTGAGCCTCAGAGTGAGAGGCTAATTTTTTGTACCTCGCTCAAAAATTGATGTTTTATCTTTTTTCTTTTAAATTTGTGCCAAGAAAAACATATCATGAAAGAAGAGAAGCAAACATAACAAATTAACACAAAAATAAAAAGTAAAAAACAGCAAATCTAAATTTTATACTTAAAAAATACATGTAATAAGGATTAAACAAAATAACATAGCATACTCAAAATACTCATGAACCTAAAATTATCATTCACTTTCCGAAACTGAAATCAGAAAACTTCAGATAATTTGAATGAGAATGGTAAAACGGCCCCGAATATCTAGTCTAGCTAGGTCATTCAAGTACAAAGATATCCTAACACTTTAAGGTACGTAGATATTTATTTCCATTTATTGACTCTGGGTTGAGCTATTTTAACTTACGCTTTTAGCCGAGCTTTTAACCTATTTTATGTTTCTTAAAACTTTCAAATAAAAATCAGTCAAAATAATCTCAAATCAGAAACCACTCTGAAGACTGTGTTTGAGTTATTGAACACAACTTTTGTATAAGGAAAATCACTTACAAAAAAGTCGTTTCAAAAATACACTAGCTTATTGATATTGAACTTTTTCTATGAAGCTCATTTGTTTTCTGGAAAATTCAAATTTAACTTATATTAGAATTTGACTACCACAGGAAATTTCCAAGGAAATTTCTAATATTTTCTGACCACAGAATTAATATCAAATTGGTTGAAAAAGCAATATGTAATTTGAATGTTTTCGGCAATTTCCATTTTGTTCCAATACTCTTGTAGATTTTTAGGATTATTTTTAGGTTTTGGATATTTCCAGCTTTTGTGATCAATAGATTAGCTTGGTTTTCTTCAAACTTCAACTAAAGCTATAAGTTATAGCTTAAGTTAAAGTTTAGGGCCTGGTTTATTCATCTTCAGCTAAATTTGCTGGTAACCATCTGCAAGATAAATTCACCGTTCTATAATTCTATTGGTCGGTGAATAAATGGCCGACCGATAGGATTACAGATTGCGTTTTTATCTGTCAGATTGAATACCTGACAGTTTATCAGAAGGTGAATAAACCGACCTTAAGTTTTATAAAGCCCAAGCCTATAACCTCACAACTTTACTGTGATCAAGTCAGTAATTAATATTATCAATAGTAATATAACAAGTGCAATGGAAATTAGGTAAATTATCGATAATTTTTGGGAAATTTGCCTGAATGCATTTTTAGTTGAAAAAGAGCATGAGTGCATGTAAAGTGCGACAAGTGAGTGAACCTGTGTGGAAGGAATGCGGGCAAAACCCTTCTGATTGGCCCGAGATTAAATATACATATACGCGGGTCGTCGCGTCAGGGTAAACGCAATTTTCGCAATGCACCACGTCGGAGACCCGTCGCGTCATGTAGTATAGGTTTTCGTCTTTCCCTCTGCTACTTCATATGTTATCAAGGTTCACTCACTTGTCGCACTTTAGTGCACGAGTGCCTTTTTCAGTTAAAAATGCATGAGTGCAAATTTGTCGAAAATTATAAATATATTTCTATTGCACGAGTTGTATTTTATGGGAGAATTTCATAAATCAAAAATTTAATTTTTTTATCAAAAAATGTCAAAACACCAGTTCTCGCACCAGTTACTATGCAATTATCCGATAATTTGCACTAGTGCAAGTAATTCCAATCTGATTGGTTGAAATCAACAATCAGAACATATCAGTCTATTGTGGGAATGTCAGTTTTGACAGATGTATGAAATTCTCATTATTATCATATGGAATATTTCTCAGAATATTTATGATGATGCCTGATTGAAAACTTAATTTGCACATGTGAACATGAGTGCGAAAACTCACATAATATGGTTCATTGACATGAAATCGTGCATTTACCCTAAGAAAATTTCCTGTGTCTATATTAATACCTGCAATTCATGCAATTTTTAGTCCCATAAATTCTGTATTCTTTAATTTGTTTATTTTTATGGATGTTATTTTAATCCAGTGTTGTTTTGTTATTTAAATACAAATTTGTGATTGAGGCTTTCATTAAAAATTATCAGTAATTTTGATGCACTTGTGTAATTATTATTTTTACAAGTTATTATTGGCTTGATATTGATGGTTGGGCGTCCCATCCCGATACCTGCTGAAGTCGCTATGTCGACGACGCATCCGTGGTTGAAGGGATAATGGATTCCAAAAACAGCCAATAATTGCGAATATGTTCCCCTTATACCTTCACTCACTCCCATACCAACGGTTGGCGTTGGTCTTCACAACTAACAACTTAAAATTGATAAAAGACTTAACTAACAAGGTAGAAATGAAACAGGTCTTGGTAGCTCAGTTGGTAGAGCGTTGCACTGGATATGCAACGATCCTGGCTTCAAATTCTGGTTGAGGCAAGACATTTTTTTATCAATTTTAATTGGAACGTCTGCATGTCAAGAAAATCCAACGCACTGTAATTATTATTACTTCCGATAATATACAGGGTGTTTCACGATCATCAAAACAGAGGCGTTTTAGGGTATTTTAAGGTCGATTTGAAAAAAACGCTTCGGACACGTCATTTTTGTATTCAAGGACCCCATCGGTATTTCGTTAGGGTGAGGTGACCTTTACATCTGTTTTAAGATAGGGAAGGATAGGATTTTGATGGGTCTTGCCCATAAATAAATAAATAAGGATTGATCGAGTGGTACCTTGTTTTAGGGCCAAATTATGGACCAACTGGTAAGTGTCTGGTTGTTACCTAGCAGGTACTTTCTATTCTCTAGTGCATAGAAAGTACCTGCTAGGTAACAACCAGACATTTACCAGTAAGTTCATAATTTAGCCCTTAAAGGTATTTTGATATTCTCTGTCAAAGTTGCCATGGGCTAAATAAGGAATAATCTTCTAGTCCTGTTATTCTTAAATTAACACTCTCCTGACTTTCCTCTCGGACACGTCAATTTCCATCTTTTCAGAAGCACACAAAAAATAAAAATTGATGTATCCAAGAGGAAAGTCAGGAAAGTGTTAATTTGAGAATAACAGGGCCAGAAGATTATTTCCCTTTTAGCCCATGGCAACTTAGAAAACTCATTGGATTTTCAGAAAAAATACAGTTGTGATGAGAATCAAAATACCTTTGAAACAAGGTAGCACTCGACCCATCTTCTCTATCTGAAAAACAGGGGTGAAAGTCACCCCACCTAGGGAGTGCACCCTAGCGAAATACCAATGGAATCGAAAAATTTTTCTCTTGAATACAAAAATGATGTGTCCAAGCATTTTTTTCAAATCGACCTTAAAATACCCTAAAACGCCTCTGTTTCGATGTTCGTGAAACACACTGTATATTTCACTGATAAATTCATCTGATCTCTAGAATTTATCAAGAAAAAAACCACCTTTTCTGCTAACTAAAAAAGTATCTCATTGTTTACCAGGGTCAGAGACCAGGAGCACCCTCCTACCCCCCACAGGGCTACCCACAACAGACACAAGGGGGAGCACAACCCTACCCAAATTCTCCCGCTTACCCACCACTCAACCCCAATTCTTTTGGTTACAATAGTGGCGCTCCCATGCAAATGCCACAACCCATGCCCATGCCTACCTATCCACCTAGCGCCCCTGCTGGTTACCCTTCATACCCACCTCAACCTTCAAGTGGAGGGTACCCACCTTCGGCTTCCAGTGGCGGCTATCCACCTGCATCAGGAGGAGGTTATCCACCTGCTTCAGGTGGAGGTTATCCTCCTCCTTCAGGGGGTTATCCACCTGCTTCAGCTGGAGGTTATCCTCCTCCTTCAGGAGGTTATCCACCTGCTTCAGGTGGAGGTTATCCTCCTGCTTCAAGCGGTAGCTATCCACCTCAACCTTCCAGAGGTGGTTATCCACCTGCTTCAAGTGGTGGCCACCCACATGCAGGTGGGTCACCTTCTCATTATCATTCCGCTCCTGGTGCTCCCCCTGGAGGACAAGGATATCAAGGACCTACAGGACCATATGGTGGAGTTAGTTACACACATTCAACACCTAGCATGCAACCAGCTAGACTAAAGGTAGAATTGTATTTTAGTTTTGCTGTCCTACATGTTCTAATTTGAAGGTAGTTTAAATATTTGAAATTTCAACTATTTATGTTGCTTAATTTGCATAGATAATGGTGTCCGGTTTGGTTAAGAATTTAAAACATTTTCTATATATTCTATATCACGTTGGTCATTACCTGAAAAAACTTTCTAATCATTTTCTATATTGTTGATAAAATGGGTTATTTCAAGGTACATTTTCATGCGAATTTTTTTTTTGGTCCATTTTTTAATATTAAATATTTTTGTTATTTTCAGAGAACTCCCACAGTTGTCCCAATGGCGGGATTCAACCCTCGTGCAGATGCTGAGGTCTTACGTAAGGCCATGAAGGGTTTTGGTACTGACGAAAAGGCCATCATTAATGTGCTGGCTCATAGAACCAATCAGCAACGATTGCAGATTGCTTTCGAATTTAAAACGCTCTATGGAAAGGTAAGCAAATAGCTTTAAAAATACACATAGTCTATATACATAATGTAGTGCATCAACATTCATTGCCAAGGCTTTAACAAGCCTTGTTGCAAGATTGCATAAATATAATTATTTATGGAATTTTCATGACAAATAAGAAATAAGTAAATACATCAACTGTTTTTCAGTTAGGTCATATACATATATACTTATACTTTCCCATTTCGATAATTATACATATAATTATTGTATATTATTAGTGGCAGCAAAAGTTTTAAAAACCCTAAGGATATTTTTTTCCAAAATTTCATTTTTTCACTGGAATAAATTTAATTTTCCTTCACAAGTAGCATGCTTATAATAGTGAATACAGATTTAATATTTTTGTGAAAATCGGTTGTTTCCATTTTGACTACTTTTTGTGCATTTCTAATATAAACTATACAAATACTCAGAGTAGTTCTGATGAAATAAGCTGCTCCTGTGAAAAAATAGAAAATTATGTATTTATTTGTTGTGTGTGACAAATCCAGTAGCGTAACACCGAATAATTTTCGCAACAATTTCATCCATATTCTTCTTGGAACTCACAGAATGCCGTTCATATGCCTTATAAAAACTTCCCAGTTTTAAAAGTACCTCGAGAATATTTTCGTGAATTTTCTTGATGTACTATGTACTGTAGAATAAGGATGTTGTGTGTGTATGCTAGATTCTAAAATATGTACTATATTTTACTTTTAGGATTTGGTTAAAGACCTAAAATCAGAAACCACAGGAAACTTCGAAAATGTTCTTGTTGCCATGATGACTCCTTTGCCAGAATATTACGCTCAAGAACTTCATGATGCCATGGCAGGCGCAGGCACTGACGAAGATGTTCTGATCGAAATTATGTGCACAAAATCAAATGAAGAAATTATGGTTATAAGACAGGCTTATCAAAAAAGTAAGTATTTTGTTTTTGAATGTCAAAATATTCAAACATTATTTTAGTATACCACAGATCATTGGAACAAGACCTTAAAGGTGACACTGGGGGCACTTTCAAGCGATTAATGGTATCACTTTGCAATGCTTGCCGTGATGAAAGCATGGCTGTGAATCCAGACGCAGCTAGAGCCGATGCTCAAGCGCTGCTCAGAGCCGGAGAATTGCGTTTGGGCACCGATGAGAGCACTTTTAATGCTATTTTGTGCCAGAGAAACTGGGCCCATTTACAGTGCGTTTTCCAGGAATATGAGAGATTGACGGGTAAGCTCCCTTGAGGAAAAAAAAAAGAAACAAAATAAATGATAGAGTTCTTTTAGGTCATGATATTGAGAAAGCAATCAAAAATGAATTTTCTGGTGAAGCTGAACAGGGTTTGTTGGCTGTGGTGCGTTCCATCAAGAACCAAGCTGCTTATTTTGCCAAATGCTTGAACAAAAGCATGAAGGGCTTGGGTACTAACGATCGCGATCTGATTCGATTGGTTGTGACCAGATCAGAAATTGATATGGTTGAAATCAAGAGGGAATATCAAGCTAAATATGGGGAGTCTTTGGCTGATGCCATTAAGGTAATAACTTATCTGTTTGAAATAAAAATTTCATAATTTTTGGTTGTGTATTGCATAAGTTATATAGCAAAATTTTTGCGAAAGTGGGTGTGTGTGAGTTCCATAAGTTAATTAATTATGTCTGGTAAGTAATTTACTTACTTTTTTACCTACTAGAAATCATATGCTCAATGCAATGCAAAGATACATAATGCACCAGTAGTTTGAACTGAATTTTTCTCAGAATTTTTCTTTATGTTGACAAGGGAGTAAAAAGAGGCTCATGCACACTGGATTCATTTCTGTTTTATTTTACTATTTATTTAAATGTACTGGTAAAACAGTAACAAATTCGGTATGTGTGTGGGCCCCTTGAAGCTTGGGACTGATGATATGATTAGAATTTATTTATTTTTCAGTCAACCTTTCTTATAAAACAAAAAGAGAAATAACACAATTATTACATAGATTAGGCAAATTTATGAAGAAAGGCTGATAATTTATTTCATGATACAAGCACACATTACTTACATTTACGAATTTGTGTTAGCTGCTTCAAATTGAGATCATATTAACCAATCTGAAGCTAGGGTATCCAAGATATAATAAAATTTTCGTATAACTGAGTTGATCTTATCAATCACATGCCATTTCCATACCAAAAAAAGGTTATCTTAAAATAAGTTTGATGCATCTGGAGAATTAGGTACCTAATGGTTTTTGAAACATTGAGGTCTTCAGCAGATAGAATAAGATGATCTTGGGCTACACTAGATGTTACATCATATTCTCAAGACATATAAGTTTGTATCTTTTTATTTTGTTGGCGATCAGATAAATACGATTTTAGCCTCTTCGTAAGAACATCTGTTTTAGAACATAAATTAATAATTTCTAACAATCTGCTATTGAAATCACAATTTTTAAAACATTGAGTCACCCTATAATAGTCGGTGCACTATCGCAGTTTATACTAATGACTCAAGCAGGATGATGCGATTCACATTTTATTAAATTATCATCAGCGCAGATTACCTTATCACTTGGATTATCAGAGAAAGCTAGATCCAAGTAAAACACTATGAAATTGCAGAAGCGAGATACTTTTAGCAGTTTTTGTTCAAAGTGAGTAAATAACAGCTGTTGCATGTTTATCTTGGTTTCTTTTTGAAAAATGATAACAGACCTAGAAATTTTCATAGGCGCAACTAGGGGGGTGCTAAGCACCCCTAAAGCAAAAATTAGCACTCCCATTCGGCATCCCACCATAGCACTACCTACAGTACCTACTGTGGCACTACCTAACACTAATCGATGACGTCATAATTTAGAAAAAAGTATTTGTCGTTGATTAATTCATAGAGCACGTTCGCAATTATTATTGTTAGGGAATAACATCTTTCAAGGCTTTCCCTCAAATATACGGTTTTTATGTTATATTTAGGATGACGTCATCAAACAAGATCAGACAATGTTGTCAATCAGGCCTATGATGTATCATTTTCTGTTATTTTAACAGTAACGTTAAATTATCTGTCACTGTTTATTCTGCACGTAAAAATAGAGATAGGTATAGATTTTGAGCCATAACACAACTGTTAAAATAACAGGAGAGAATACATCATAGGCCTGAATGTCTGTTTATTCTATATCTTAAGGTGACATTGAAATACCGGCCCTTAAAAAATCATTGGAGCCCCAAATATAGGGTCACCAGACGTACAGTATTTCGCTGTATTGTACAGCATTTTGAAAGTGTGTCTAGCATTTGATTTTGTACAGCAAACGTACAGCGATTCGGATCATAATTAAATATTTCTTAAAAATTGTACGAAAAATTACCTGTCGATAACCAACACCACATTCCTACATTTGCTATTTACGTCATTTACGCGTCACGCGATCATTTTCAGATGTGTTTCCTATTATCCCTGCGTTTTTATTCTCATCAAATTTTACCGATGGATTCGCCATTCTATGGACGTCATTGTCATTTTCCATTCACTAAACAAAGATAACTAATTCATCGGTGAAGTCACCAATGAGAATAAAAACGAGGGGTATCATCCAATTTTTTTTCAACTTTTTTTGGGCGTGGCACCATTTTTTTTGCATTTAGTGCTTTTTTCAATCTCCTGTCCCAAAATTTTAGATGTGTACAGCATTCATACACAAAAAATATGGCCACCCTGCCCAAATATATAAATTAATTAACTGCGTGACATTGCGTGTTATACAGGGTGTTCCTAGATATCATGTACAAACGGCAAAGGGTGATCCTTTATTTTTTTTTTTATGACTGAAATCTCAAATAAGTTCTAAAAAATTGACTTATTTAAGCGAAATTTAAAAAAAAATTCACCTCTTACATTTTATTTTTTTTCTGGAAAACTTGCAAAGGGAAAATTTTGAAAATTTTCCAGGAATAAGAGGAAAATGAGGTGCTCATTTTACGGAAATTTCAAAATTTTCCCGTAAAAAATCACTCCATGAAAAATTTTGACAAACTTTTTTAAGCAAAACTAAGGAGAATTCACCCTGTTGCATTTTAATATTTTTTTCTAGAAATCTGGCAAAGGGAAAATTGTGAAATTTTTCCAAAAGAAAGAGAAAAGTGAGGAGCTCCTTATAGGAAAATTTCAAAATTTTCCAGTGAAAAATCACTCCAGGAAAAATTCTGGGAAATTGACTTTTCTAGACAAAATTCACCCTCTTACATTTTAATTTTTTTTGGGAAACTGGCAAAAATGAAAATTGTGAAAATTTTCCAGAAAAAAGAGGAAAATAAACAGCTCATTATAGCAAAATTTCAGAACTTTCGAATGAAAAATCACTACATAAAAAATTCTAGAAAATTGACTTATTTAAGATTTAAGCAAAATTAAGGAAAATTCACCCTCTTACATTTTAATTTTTTTCTGGAAAACTGGCAAAGGGAAAATTTTGAAAATTTTCCAAGAAAAAGAGGAAAGTGAGCAGCTTATTATGGGAAAATTTCGAAATTTTCCAGTGGAAAATCACTCCAGGGAAAATTCTGGAAAATTGACTTTTTCAAGTAAAATTAAGGAAAATTCATCCTCTCATATTTCAATTTTTTTCTGGAAAACTGGCAAAAGAGGAAAAAAAGGAAAGTTAGGAGCTCATTATATGAAAATTTCAAAATTTTCCAATGGAAAATCGCTCCAAGAAAAATTCTGAAAAAATGACTTCTTCAAGTAAAATTAAGAAAACTCATCCTCTCACATTTCAATTTATTTCTGGAAAACTAATAAAGCAAAACTTGTGAAATTTTTCCAAGAGAAAGAAGAAAATAAGGAGCTCATTATAGGAAAGTTTCAAAGTTTTCTAGTGAAAAATCACTCCAAAGAAAGTCAAGAAGAAAGTTCTGGAAAATTGACTTTTTTAAGTAAAATTCATCCTTTCACATTTCAATTTTTTTCTGGAAAACTGGCAAAGCAAAAATTGTGAAATTTTTCCAAAAAATAAGGAAAGTGAGGATCTCATTATAGGAAAATTTCAAAATTTTCCAGTGAAAAATCACTCCAGGAAAAATTCTGGAAAAGTGACTTTTTCAAGTAAAATTAAGGAGAATTCATCCTCTCACATTTCAATTTTTTGCTGGAAAACTGGCGAAAGAGGAAAAAGAGGAAAGTCAGGAGCTCATTATAAGAAAATTTCAAATTTTTTTATTGGAAAATCACTCCAGGAAAAATTTGGAGAAATGACTTTTTCAAGTAAAATTAAGAAAAACTCATCTTCTCACATTTCAATTTATTTCTGGAAAACCAATAAAGCAAAACTTGTGAAATTTTTCCAGGAGAAAGAAGAAAATGAGGAGCTCATTATAAGAAAATTTCAAAATTTTCTAGTGAAAAATCACTCTAGGAAAAATTTTGAAAAACGTACTTTTTTAAGCGAAATTAAGGAGAATTCACCCTCTTACATTTAAATTTTTTTCTAGAAATCTGACAAAGGGAAAATTATGAAATTTTTCCAGAAGAAAGAAAAAAGTGAGGACCTCATTATAGAAAAATTTCAAAATTCTCCAGTGGAAAATTACTCCAGGAAAAATTCTGGGAAGTTGACCTTTTTAGACTAAATTCACCCTCTTACATTTTAATTTTTTTCTGGGAAACTGGCAAATAGAAAATTGTGAAAATTTTCCCGAAAAAAGAGAAAAGCAAAGAGCTCATTATAGCAAAATTTTAAAATTTTCCAATGAAAAATCACTCCATAAAAAATTCTGGAAAATTGACTTATTTAAGCAAAATTAAGAAAAATTCACGCTCTTACATTTTAATTTTTTTTTGGAAAACTGGCAGAGGGAAACTTTGAAAATTTCCCAGGAAAAAGAGGAAAGTGAGGAGCTCATTATAAGGAAATTCCGAAATTTTCCAATGAGAAATCACTCTAGGGAAAATTCTGGAAAATTGACTTTCAAGTAAAATTAAGGAGAATTCATCCTCTGACATTTCAATTTTTTCTGGAAAACTGGCAAAAGAGGAAAGTCAGAAGCTCATTATAAGAAAATTCAAGATTTTCCAATGGAAAATCGAGGAAAAATACTGAAAAAATGACTTTTTCAAGAAAAACTCATCCTCTCACATTTCAATTTATTTCTAGAAAACTAATAAAGCAAAACTTGTGAAATTTTTCCAGGAGAAAAAAGAAAATGAGGAGCTCATTATAGGAAAATTTCAAAATTTTCTAGTGAAAAATCACTTCAAAGAAAGTCGAGAGGAAAGTTCTGGAAAATTGACTTTTTTAAGCAAAATTCATCCTTTCACATTTCAATTTTTTTCTGGAAAACTGGCATAGCAAAAATTGTGGTTTTTTTTCAGAAGAAAGAGGAAAGTGAGGAACTCATTATAGGAAAATTTCAAAATTTTCCAGTGAAAAATCACTCCAGGAAAAGTTCTGAAAAATTGACTTTTTCAACTAAAATTAAGGAAAATTTATCTCTTACATTTTAATTCTTTTCTGGAAAACTGGCAAAGGGAAAATTTTGAAAATTTTCCAGGAATAAGAGGAAAATGAGGAGCTCATATTAAGAAAATTTCAAAATTTTCCAGTGAAAAATCACTCCAGAAAAAATTCAAAGAAAGACTTATTTAGGCAAAATTAAGGAAAATTCACCCACTTACATTTTAATTTTTTTCTGGAAAACTGGCAACTGTAAAATTTTGAAATTTTTACAGGAGAAAGAAGAAAGTGAGAAGCTCATTAGAGGAACAATTCAAAATTTTCCAGTGAAAAATCACTTAAGAGTACTTTATTTATTTTCGGATAACTGAATAAACTCTATTCTAAGTTAAAAAATGTATTACAAAACAATTTCGTAGGTGCTCTATGAATTTATCTATGACTTAACTTTTTCTTTAAGTTATGACGTCTTAAAAACCTTCGTGCTGTGCAACGAACTATATGTTTGTTTGAAATCAATTCAATCAAATTGAACCAGATGCTGGATCATGATCAATTCATGGTGCAAAGTGTCATCAAACCTTTTGCTCTCCTCAAAGACATAATCAATAATATTTCAGCTTTCGTTAAAGACTTTGATCAGAATGATTATGTTATTGTATTCGCCGGATATAATGACTTTTGCGTCAACAAATCTCCTAACTGTTCATACGTACTTGATAAATTAAAAGAATGTGTTCATACTAATGTCATTGTCTTGTCTGTTCCTATTCATTTTGAGTATGTTAATAAGTGTTATAATTTTAATAGTAAGCTAAGTAATTTATTGTATAATTTTGTTAAATTTTCTTCTAACAAAGTATCATTCATAAATAGCTGCAACTTTTTGGGAAGAATTCATACTAATCGTAGAATATCAGGACTAATACTTAACCAAATTAAATGTTCAAACTCGAAAAATTTGATCTCTGTTACGCTCCAGGATAGTGTTGTCTATGCCAATGACGATTCCTCTATGAGAAGCAACAATATTCCGATCATATCAGATGTCTCACTTTCTCCATTGAATAATGGTTTTTATGAAAATAATTCTTTGTCAGGTTCTCAATTGACTGATTCTTCGCCCAATTTAGTTACTAATTCAAATTTTCAGCAGGAGTTAAACACAACCATAGTTACCTAGACAATAATATTATGATTTTTTACCAGAATTGTAGGGGTGTGAAAACTAGGTTAGATGAACTTAAATATAATATGTTAAACAATGATTGTGAAGTTGTGGCATTAACTGAAACTTGGCTGAATGAAACAATTTATTCGGGGGAGTTTAATTTTAAGGACAGAACTACATTTAGGAAGGATAGAAATAGGATTGTGACCGGTAAATCTCAAGGGGGAGGAGTTCTGTTGGCTGTAAAAAACAATCTTATTGTTGACGAGGCTAAGGTTTTTGACGATGATCAGGAAGCATTGTGCATTCGAATTAGACTGGATAGTAATCATCTATTATATGTAGTTGTAGTATACATCACTCCCAACAGTCCAAGTAACGTGTATGATCTTTTTTTTGAGAAAATTGAAATATTTTTAGCTGATCGACTTAGGTCTGAATGCATAGTTGTTGGGGACTTTAACATTCCTAGCTATGTTAATCAGCTTTCGTGTAACAATAATCTAAATGTTTTAAAGGGATTTTTAGCATTTAATGACTTAAGGCAGCTAAATCAAGTTAAAAATCTAAATAATGTAATTTTGGACCTTGTGATTGCATCATTTGATAATGTTCGTGTTGCCAGGTCCGACGATTGTGTATTGCCTGTAGATAGTCATCATCCCTGCTTGTGTGTTACCGTTAATACTAAAACGCCAATTCAATATTGCAAAGTTGTGTCCACTACAAAGTTTAATTTTAGAAAGGCAAATTTTTTTGCTAATGTATGATCTTATTACAAATCAAAACTGGGCTATTATAGATGAAATTTCTGATGTAAATGTGGCAATGGATCTTTTTTACTCTATTCTCAATGACATTTTTGTTAAGTGTGTGCCAAAATCGACACAAATCGACAAGAAATATTCAGTATGGTTCAGCAAGGAAATAATTAAATTAATTAAACTTAAGCATAGCTATTTGTTAAGGTCCAAGCGTTATAAATCTCAGTATACTGGAAATCCAAATATATTGCTCTGCGCAGCACCATCAAACAAAAAATTAGGCTAAATCACACTGAATACCTTTATAATGTTGAAAGGAGCTTGAAGTCAAATCCAAAGTTTTTCTGGTCTTATGTTAAAAGTCTGAAAGACAACCATGACATCCTTGAAGAAATCGTTTTTGAGAACCAAACTTATTCTGGCACGCAAAATATAACTGAAGGTTTTGCTAAATTTTTTAAATCAGTTTATATCAATGATCCTGATGTAACATGCAATTCTACAAACTCCATGTCATTTTTCTGTCAGAAGGAGATATCTATTGAAATGATTAAAGTGGTTCTAAAAAAAGTTAAACCTAATAAGGCGATTGGTCCAGATGGAATACCAGCATATATTTTAAAAGGTTGCAGCAATCATTTTTTAAAACCACTTCACGCGTTGTTTAATTTAATTTTGAGAACATCAACCTACCCAGATAAATGGAAAATCAGTAAGGTTATTCCAATCTTCAAGAATGGATCCGGAGAGGAAATCAAAAACTATCGGCCTATTAGTATCGTATGTGCAGTTTCCAAAATTTTTGAAGTAATAATTTATGATATGCTATTTAATGAAGTATCTAACAGGATTACATCATGCCAGCATGGCTTCCTTCCTGAAAAATCAACTATGACTAATCTTATCACATTCTGTCAATATGTTCATGAGGCACTCAACAGCAAGTCGCAAGTGGATGTGATTTTTATGGACATGGAAAAGGCATTTGATAGAGTAAGACATTGCATAATACTAAGGGCCTTAAATGACTTGGACGTGCCTGCATATCTGGTAAACCTAATCCAATCATATTTGAATCAAAGACATCAGTATGTGGAAGTGAAGGGCTGCAAATCAGCTGTGTATAAAAGCACTTCAGGGGTACCACAGGGCTCCAATCTGGGTCCTCTTCTTTTTCTAATAGCCATCAACAGTATTATAAATAAATTGGAAAATGCCAAGGGTCTACTCTTTGCGGATGATTTTAAGTGTTTTTTCCGGGTTAGTTCAATTGCAGACTGTGAAATGCTTCAGAATGATTTCTGTAATGTCGCCAACTGGTGCATTGACAACCAATTTAAGTTGAATGTCAGTAAATGTTCATGTATGTCCTTTACCCTTAATAACAATGCTGTACAGTTTGAGTATACACTGAATGACGTTGCGCTTAATAGAGTCAACATTCAGAAGGACTTGGGTATAATTTTTGATTCGGCTCTATCTTTCTCTAAACATATTGTCAGTAAAGTTGAAAGTGCCCAAAAGATGGCTGGTTTCATTGCTCGGAACTCTAAAGACTTTTCAGTGGATGTAAGCTTACACCTCTTTGACAGCCTTGTGGCGCCCATATTGGAGTATGGAAGCATAATATGGTCCCCACAATATAATGTATGGTTAACAGTGCTTGAGAGTGTGCAGAGAAAGTTTTTAAAAAGTATGTATTTCAGAAAGCACGGTGTCTATCCACCGATTGGATATGACAACTCTCAACTCTTGAGAGAATTTAATAGATTAAGTTTGGAACATAGACGAATTAATATAGTGCTTTGCATGATGTTTAAGTTATTGAAAGGAAATATAGATAGTCCTGATATTCTGAGCCAGTTGCCTTTTGCTATTCATCGTATTAACTCGCGTAATTCGAAAGTATTTTACCTGGCGTATCCGAGAGTTAATCTTTATAAAAACTCCCCTATATACAGAATGTGCGATGTTTTCAACTTGTACGCTTGTGACATTGACATTGATGTCATTTGTTACAATCAGTTTAAACAACTTATTCTGTCCAAACTAAAAGAAGAATAGTATTAAGGTGTTTTAATTGTATTATTTGTATGTTTATTGTTAGGATTAGGTATATTTAACATTTTAATATTATAGCATGACACATACTATTACTTAACTATTATTATTGGATAAGTGGATATCTGTAATTGGCTTAAGCTGTTGATATCTTTGAATAAATAAATAAATAAATAAATAAATTTCAGACATAAAAAAAACTATTTTTCAAAAAAAAATGCAAATGCTGCAGCACCCCTCAAATTTGGAGCCTATAGTTGCGCTTATGGAAATTTTGTGTGAAGACTATGATAAATGGAAAATTAAGTGGTTTGAGTCTCATGAACAAGAAGGTTTCAGACTGATAAGAATATGCAGATTATTTATCTTAGGATTGCTTAGAAATAGTCACTTGCCAGAATATGCATAGAAGCATAAATTTAATGAAAATGCATCATTATCATTATGAATTATTTTTTTCTATTTTGTAGCCTCAATTCTTTTGAATGATTCTGTTATTGAGTGGCTATCAAAACTATGTAAAAAAAAAAACAACACAATATTCGATGAAATAATATTTCTTCGGCTGACATTTTCTTCTAGTAGCAACAGTTCTGTTACACAATAGTTTTTACAGTATCTCGATTTAGTTCAATGATTATATTATACTATTATATCCTTATAGTAATTTACTTCAATATCTAGGCAAACTGCATGTTTATTTTCTTCTTTATTGAAAAAGTGAATAATTTTTCTCAATTTTCAGGGCGACACCTCAGGTCACTACAAGAAATGCTTGTTGCACTTGATTGGAGAGCAGCCTTAATTTAATCTGTGCAAACTATGCTTTAGATCTGAACCGATCTGCAAATTAAATATAATAAATTGTTGCAACCATTTTAATCTACATGTGTTTGACTTAAGTTTTTTTAAAAAACATTTTATATGAATCTGTATTTGATACACTGTCACGTGCATTTATGTTTGTTATACTGTCCCCTTAATATTATTTATCTACGAATAAAATGCTTTATTTTTAATGTGTTATTTCACTTGTGTACTTACTTCTTTAAAAGTAAATTTATTATGGAATATGTGATTGTAAAATTTTCCATTTTTTTCTAGGGAGAATGCTCTGGAGATTATGAAAAATGTCTTGTACATTTAGTAGGAGATGCCTAATTTGTTACACGTTTTTAAACTTTAGATGGTATATTTTTAATGTGCTTGATCAATTTATACATATTCCAGTCCCCAACAAGGAATCAGTAACAGTTATATATAATTATTGGAAACAGTCAAAATGTTTTTTTTTTAGCTCTGACCAATCTTTAATGAATCCTTGTTGGCAAAACTGTAATATTATTAGGGCCAACATGAAACACGTTTGCCAAAAATAAATTTTTGTAATGCCAAGTTTTCTCATTCCCACTAGAATATGTATTTTTGTAATATTTATAAAAGATCTGTTACTAACTGTTGTGAATTTTCCACAAACTTTAAAAAATGTTAAAGCATGTATTTTAATGCTCTATTTTATTATTCATGTGTCCTGTTTATGATAAACATTGTATTGTTCGCTTTAATTGTAATGTTTTGAATTTTTTATTCCATACCTATTTAAACATATTGCATACAATAAACGTTACAAAAACATTAAATTTGAGAATTTTATTACCAAAAAAAATCTTCAAAGGGAGCAAAGGATCTAGTGAACTGTGTTAGAAGGTTATTTTATTGAAGCTAAAACGAACAAATACCTAAGATAACCTGTTGAAGAAACTGCAAACATATTTCTTATGTTTCTTTCATAGACATATTGTAGATTCCGCCATTTTATAAAACGGCTAGCCACTTTTAGCTAAGAGGAATTATTAGTGTATGTTAAAGTTATCTTTCTAATCCTTTTTACCTATGAAAAAATCTTTGTCTTATAATCATTTATGCAATTAAGTCATAAATTCAAGGTGAGCAGGGCCGTTTCTACCTGGTAGGATACCAAATGGAAGCCAATTTTCGTTTAGATCCAGTATTGCTTTTCTCCTTTTTTTTTTTCTTCAGGAATTCAGTCGAAATGCAAAACAACAGGTATATATTCCTGTTTAAGAATATGGCTCGTACTTGATCGGCCAGTTTATAAAATTATTAAAAGCCATATTATAAAATAATGTAAAATAAACAATTATTTTACAATGTGGTCGCGTTTAATAAAATGGCGAAATTTACAATGTTGCTACGACATATCCACTTCTATGCTGCTGAAATTTTTTTCTGTGTGATAAAGGGTGGATTATGGTTCGCAGTTATATCACAGGTTATATGGTCTATAACTGTCATGGAGAATGTGCCTCAATTTCACTCGCTTCTGGGTCTAGCTCTTTGGGACATTAACTAAGACAGTCTTCCATCTATCTTAAAACGTTTCTGTCTCCTTCAGATCCAGTGTAGGGACACAATTATCTCTTAAAGCTGGCCCTGGCCCTAGTATGAAGTTCTGCGGAATACCCCACTGAAAATAGAAGAATATGAAAAATAATTCTCTCTATTTTACACGGTGGATGGCGGGTATTAGACGTTTATGGAGAACTAAAAAACGGATCATTTTGAAAATTTGACAACCGGGATAAACGAACATAACCTACACTTTAAAAATATTTTTGTTTATGCGGTGTTGTCGCTTCTACTTTAAACCAGTGGCAACATCGCTATTTTAAATGGAACACCCTGTATGTGATTGCATATTTGGATTCTACATAAAATTCTGAGCAGATTTCATGTGATATACCCTATACCTAAGTTCAACTGTTTTGGAATTATTAACAGTTGAAAATTGACTTTTTGCAACTTTGACAGGCTGTAGAGCCTGAACGGTTAATTTTAGAGGAAAACCGATTTAATATTCCTATCTCAGATTTTTATAAACTATCATTTGACACCAGCTGTGTATTTAATCCATGATTAAAAATTCCAATTAAATTTAATCTCCGGTTAAATTCCAAGTTGGTGGCAAATGATAGTTTATGAAAATCTAAGATAGGAATGTGAAATCAGTTTTCCTCTAAAATAAACCGTTCAGATTTTACAGCCTGTCAAAGTTGCAAAAAGTCAATTTTCAACTGTCAATATTTCCAAAACAGTTGAACTTAGGTATAGGGTATATCACATGAAATCGGCTCAGAATTATACGTAGAATCCAAATATGCAATCACATACAGGGTGTTCCATTTAAAATAGCGATGGTGCCAGAGTGGAAGCGGCAACACCGTATAAACAAAAATATTTTTAAAGTGTAGATTATGGTCGTTTATCCCGGTTGCCTAATTTTCAAAATGATCCGCTTTCTAGTTCTCCATAAACGTCTAATACGCCATCCACCGTGGGACACCCTGTATATTTACTAACAGACATCTATTTTTCGAATGAGAAGTAAAAAGCTCCATTTCCATCCCTTAAGCTTTATTAAAAGTAATCTGTGGTGAATAGAGTCGAAAGTCTTACACCCGTATGCACCGTAAGACCTTGGGAGTTTAATCTCGCTTAGTTCGAAAATTTGCATATAAAAAAAAGTCCCAATCTGGTTTTAGCAACTAATCTGGAAAGTGCACTTTACCGCACTCATTGGCAAGAAACATAGCAGTTTACCGCACACTATGCGGTGAAACAGTCTTGGTATTTATAATTAAGAATCCCTGTTCTTTCAATAATACCTTTTTTGGAGAGGCAAATAGGTATTTAGGTAATTAGGCTCTCCAAACCACGTTATTTTTCAATATGGCGAGTGTGGAAAATTTGACGTTTGTTTGTTTATCTTGAGTTTATTTGGAATATTTTTAATCCCTAGGTGTATAATGTACTATTTTTAAATTTGTTTAAATCTCCTTCATTTTTTTTAAAAACTTCTGAGTTGTACTTTTTGAGTCTTACAATGCAAATAAAGTTGAATATTTAATTATTATACCTGTGTTTTTTCGACCGCTCAGCTTTGGGGCATTGTTGCACCTCTTCAGGTGCTCGGGTACGCCCCAGGCCAAAGTTGTATACCGGGTGGTCCTCCGGGAATGACATCGATTGCTTATGGGAAAACTGTGAAAGGTAAAAATTTGAAAATTTGGCAACATAGCAATGTCGATGGGGGACATCCAGGTAAAATATTTTCAAGATGGCGGCATTTCCGGTCATACCGGAAGTTGATACCAACTCGGTTATTTTAAATAGAACACCCCATATATTAATGTATTTTTGGATTCTACATAAAATTCTGAGCAGATTTCATGTAATATACCCTATACCTAAGTTCAACTGTTTTGGAAATATTGACAGTTGAAAATTGACTTTTTGCAACTTTGACAAGCTGTAAAACCTAATTGGTTAATTTTAGAGGAAAACCGATTTCACATTCCTATCTTAGATTTTGATAAACTATCATTTGACACCAACTTTGAACTTAAACGGAGATTAAATTTAACTGAAATTTTTAATCATGGATTTAATTCAAAGTTGATGTCAAATGATAGTTTATAAAAATCTAAGATAGGAATGTCAAATCGGGTTTCCTCTAAAATTAATTGTTCAGGTTTTACAGCCTGTCAAAGTTGCAAAAAGTCAATTTTCAACTGTCAATATTTCCAAAACAGTTGAACTTAGGTATAGGGTATATTACATGAAATCTGCTCAGAATTTTATGTAGAATCCAAAAATACATTAATATATGGGGTGTTCTATTTAAAATAACCGAGTTGGTATCAACTTCCGGTATGACCGGAAATGCCGCCATCTTGAAAATATTTTACCTGGATGTCCCCCATCGACATTGCTATGTTGCCAAATTTTCAAATTTTTACCTTTCACAGTTTTCCCATAAGCAATCGATGTCATTCCCGAAGGACCACCCTGTATAGTAGTGTATAAGCCCTAGGCCAGTACAGTATATCTGCCATTATGATACCGATGAAAGGTGCGTAACATTAAAGATACACAATAACCACAAACAAAATAAGTTTGGTGTACATTTTTATTACACCTCGGTATAACAGAAGTGTACATTAAGGGTGATCTAACAACCCGCATTCAAAGCGTCGGAAAGGGTTTCGTAGCAGTCTAATTACTGCTTAACCATAAGTTGTATTGAAATAATTCTTGTTGTAGCCTAATCTACTAATGTTTAGGCATGTTTTTATAGAATTTCTTTTTTTTTAATAATCCAAATTAGCTCAGAAACTGAGCTTAAAAATCATCAAAAAACTGTTTTTTTCTACGAGCGTGCGGGAAATGGCTCTTCCCGCACGATTTGCTGTGCGGGAAGACTTTCTTCCCGCATCGGTGCGGGAAGAGATTTCTTCCCGCACTCAGTGCATAATCGCATTTTATTTAAATTAAACTCTTCGTAACATCAGCTTTAGTATGCTCGTAGAAAAAATATAGTTCCTAACTCTTGCGGGAAGAAATTTCTCTTCCCGCACTCGTTAGGAAAATAGCTATTTTGTGCGAATATTATGACTATTTTCGGAAGCATTTTCAAAAAAATAATCTTATAGGGACATAGATCTACTTTTCCTCTTTAGAAGGGAACAAAAAAAATATCAAAAAGTTTATCAAAAGTTGAGTAATTAGACTGCTTCGTAAGCACTAATTACCGAAATTTGTAGCCGTGGCGTGGCGCTACCATAAGTTGACAGGTGCACTTATTGTTGCTTGACAATTATAATTACTTTTCGGCACTCAGTGCGGATAAGGCCTGTATCCGCACTGAGTGCGGAAAAGTGTAACTTTGAGCCCGGAAATGCGTGCGGAAAAGTACTACTTTGCGCACGCTCGTAGGAAAAAGTTATTATCTATATTATTATAGGTATTATTATATATTACACATACACAATCAGTCGGCCTTCGGCCGCCCCCTGATTTGGCCGCCCGGGTGCGGCTGCACCTCCGCACCCCCCCTGGCGACGGGCTTGCTAGTGTGTTATGTTGAAAATAAGTTACGCGAGAAAAATTTCTCGAGTGACTTAGAAAACATAACACACGAGTATGTACATACAATGTTTTATCCAACAACTGAGAAATCATAACACGCGAGCAGCATACAAGAACTGAAAAAACCGAGGAAAAAACTAACACGTATTTTTTGTAAACGGGTCCTCTTCAAAGCAGGATTTATATTTTTTTATTTCCTGACGTTTTGCGTTGACGTTATAACAGGAATGAGGAGTGAGTTATAAACCATAATTCACTAGTGAGTTATGGATTGTTTTGTTTTTGTTCTACATTGTAAATGATAAAATATCAAGCGTCAAATTTAACTTGAAGTTGGAAGTGAACGTAAATGCTCCTTTTCGCTTGTTCCTATTTGTTGCCAAATTCCGTGTCCCTGTAGGTTGGAATTACAATGCATGTCGTGCAAATGACATGTTGCTACCAATAAGCGGCATATTTATGTTTCAAAGTAGACAGTGTCAAAATCTATCTTGGGAAAAAATACAGTAGGTATAGGTACCTATATCCTATTCACAATCCGTAGTCCAAAGGTACAGGTAAATTTATCACCTTTCCCTATAAAAAAGCATTGAAAGGTGTTAAATTTTACCTGTACCTGTGGACATTGGATTTTGAATAGATAATAGCTATTTTCGGGTTCGAAAAAAGGACGGTTCTAGAACGGTTCAA